GCTAATTTTTGTATTTTTAGTGGAGACAGGGTTTCACCATGTTGGTCAGGCTGGTCTCAAACTCCTGACCTCAGGTGATCCGCCTGCCTCGGCCTCCCAAAATTCTGGGATTACAGGTGTGAGCCACTGCTCCCAGCCTAAAAAGGGTTTTTAAAATGGGTATTTGCTTTTTTTTTGTTTTAAATAATGGACCCCTGTAGGAACCTGAAGAAAGCTTCAGATTCTCCCCAAAGATATGCACATGGGTGGATAGACATGGATTTTGCCTATAACAAAATCAGGGGATACAGGCACTTCCTTTAGCCCTTCATTGCACCCCAGGGTAAGAGCCATAGTGATAGCAGTTTCTTGGTAACACTCAGCTCCTAAAGGCTGAGTGTTCCCATTTATGATCAAACCAGGACAGCTTCCTTTGAAGGGCTCCTCTCTGCACCAGCACCCAAGACTAACGAGCTTCTTAGTGGTCCACAGCCAGGTGACCCCAAACAACTACAGAATGCCTGGCCCTGAAGTGGGGACTGTGCATGATCAAGAGAGCTAAATCATGGTGCTGTCTTTAAAGAGTGTATGATCTGTCTACTTTTCACAGTTTTACTGTAGAATTACAATCTTTCGAACTACTCAATGGAAAAAGGATCCCATGATCCAATGCTTTTCTTGGAAATTCACAATATATGAGAGCATATTAAGGTATCTGAGATGTCTTGCAGTAAAGAAAAGCATTTAACTTTATTTAGCTCAGCTTTCCCCAACTGTATTTGACCATAGGATCCCCTTAAAAAAAAAAAGGTGCATAATTCTTTGCCGAAGATCTAGAGTTCATCAGGAAGGGCTCGCCCAATTGTATAATGAGTCTTGTGATCCATTACTTAAGAAGGAGTGGGTGCTGGCCTGGCTTGGGGAGCCTCCTGGATCTTTCTGGATCTCATGACTCTCACCAGGCCAGAGCCTCACTGGAATCTTCAATGGCAGGGATCCTAGAGAATTCTAGACATTTCTGTAGAATAGGAGAATTACCCATGAAACCAACAGTGAGTTAAAGGAGGAAGGAATTGGGTAGGATGCAAGGAACAATTCCTTAATTGAAATGGGGAAGGGGTAACTAAAGATAGGGGTAGGTAACAGAGATGCTAAAGCGTATCTGTGGCAGAGAGGGCTTGGGAATGTGGACACGGCTCTGAGATTAGGCACTGCTGAAAGAGGAGAGAAACCGACAAGAAGGGTGAGCGACTATTTGAGGTTAATGTGCATGAGGATCTCATATTGGTTACTTAGTGTTTGTGGAAATTTGTATTTTTGATTTGGCTCAGCCGTTCACTTAATAAATATTTATCAAGTATCTATATTTTGCTAAGCACTGTTCTAGAAGCTGGGGATACAGCACTGAAACAATTATATGTATGCATAATTATAAATAAGTCAATGTAAATGTGTAAATTAAAAATGAGTTCTTTTTGCAGGTTTCGGTCAAAGGGAGAATGCTATGTGGTTTAGACATTCCCTTTCCTGAGAGTGCTTTAGAATGTCATGATGCTGAGATGTTTAAGTGCCAATCAGCATAAAGCCTGGCGGAGGGTAATTCAGGGAGAAGGGGCAGTCTCAGGTTTCTCATCTCATCTTTTCTGTCATTTGGAAACCGTGATCTGCCCTTGAGAAGGGAGAAAGAGAAGGGCATACCCTGCTCATTAGTCCTACTGAGTGCTGAACTGTGTGGGTGTTTGATGGGTGTTCCACTGGGGTCTGACTCCCTTTATAGACAGATGTTCCCAAGAGAACTATGCAGGCCCTCGGGGGTGGGCATGTGAGGAAGAAGGTTTCAAAGTGTTTCTGGGATTTGTTTTAATCAGGTATGGTAGGACACGCGGACATGAAAATGACCATCATGAAGTAAGACGTTATACTCACACAGCCATAGAAACAGGAGGCACGCCCTGCAGGGCAGCCCCAGGGCCAGTCAGGAGGCAGCAGTGAGGGGAAAGCGTGGGTGAGACTATTGAGGTTTTCGCGGGAAGGAATGGACAAGGCAGTGTCGGCAGGGTAGCCAGGTTTAGGATTGGCTAGTGTGAATAATTCTGGCAGACTCTGAGGCAT